CCATCCTCTTTCGTTGAGATCGAGCTGTTGCACAATTTTACATGTGGCAGGCAGGGATAGAACTTTGGCATACACATAGATCATGACGTTTTTATATCTTACTAGCTGCAATTGAAACTCATGACGTATTTATATTATTTCATCTTTTATACCTCACAGGCTGGGACTTTAACTTTTTTACCACAGATTTGTATCATGATATTCTAGACTGAGCACTCTGACGTAATTCCGGTTCACCATGGAGTGCATCATTTGATTTTATTTGGAACCAAATGAAAGGCAAGTTGGAAAAGCCTGCTCGCGCACTCGATTATAGCGAGACGGGCTTTTGACTTTCATTTGCAGACCCACGGTGCGCATCAGAGCAGCGGAGCTTTTTAAAGAACAGAGAGCGGTGGCCATGACAGTGCCCGGTCTAGGATATTATGATTCAAGTCTATGTTTTCAACTCAAAGGATATTATGTATACAACTCGAACGTAGATCAATGGCGACTTGCAACAAGGCGAACAAAAAATAAAAAAGAACTCAGGAGGATTCATGACGTCATTCAACGAAGAAATTTTAGTTTTTTTTCTCGGTGGCTGTTTGGTGTAGAATGACGTCACACCGTGCCAGTTAGACGTTCTAGACTACTTTAAGTGACTCTCTCCATCAACTCACGAGCTTCGTGCTGTCTTGCACCGATTCCATTTTTCCATGTATGACGTAAATCCTTTTGGAAGCTCTGAATTCCAGTCGAACCCCCCCCCCCCTCGCCCCCAGGAGTTAACCATAACTATTTTGGGCTCCCAAAGGGAAGGGCTTTTCAAGATCCTTGACAGCTCTGACAAGAATTTTCAGAAGTCGGAAATTGGAGTAGGTGCATAATAGTACTCTGCTCGTGATCGTTGTGAAAAGAATGTTTTAAGAGTAGCATCGAGAGTAGTAGAAATTTGCCGTGAAAAGGTGTACATTTTATTTCTCACTAACATCTCAGTTCATCTCCCCTCCGACGACTACGCCTGTGTGTTTCTAGTTCTATCCATTTGTTTGTGGTGTTGTTGTCTTTTGCTTGTCTGTTCGTCTTGCTGTTTGCTTTTGTCTACTGTTTCTTCTGTCATTTCAGATTTTCACTACACCAGCTCAAGCCATTCACTATCTGTTTATACCTCCTTCAAATGCAGATTCCACTTATAATGAACCCACGCCTGTCTGTCTGTCTGTCTGTCTGTCTGTCTGTCTGTCTGTCTGTCTGTCTGTCTG